AAATCATAATAATAATACAGATAACTACAGCTTTTACAAATTCTACACTTTTCTATGTGCTCATGAGGAAGGAGGATAGAATAACTGATCTTTTTTAAAACTGTCATTAAATTATGTATACACTTTGTGCCTTCTTGCCAGCTTGTACGCTCTAGTGAAGCATGTCTCATTCCCTCCCTACTGTGTCTCCACATCTAGTATGTTGCTTGACAAATACTGAGCTGGAGCCTAGAGGTAAAAGGTTCAGGACACATCACTATACAGCTGAATCCTTGGAAATAAATGATGTCTCCAAGACACAGCATCAATAACAAGGAAAATGGGGTCACAGGCTTTTAGAAACTTACTGTTAAGAGATAGACAGGAACAGACAAAACTGTCTGAGATCTATATTAAAAAGTACTTCTTCTCAAAAGCTTGTATCACAATATGCTCCCTTGTAACTTTTCATGTGTCTGTCCTTATTATCTAATTAATTCTCATCTGCCAGGATGTATATATAGTAGATACTTTATAACAAATGATTATTGGTTTAAATTGTTTCAATCCGCACCAAATTTATTATTTTGTACCTACAGAAAAGATTTATAATATAGTCTGACAAAATGGTTTTTCTAGTAATTTTTTTCTAAGAGGGATTGCTTATCTTGACCTTCATTCTTTTGGCAGAAGCTTCCTATGGGAAGTCCAGGAAATCCAGAGAGAATCCCCTGAATTACAGGCACACATGAGATACCAAGGCCCTAAATCCTCACCTTTGAGATTTACAAACTGGATTCAATAAAGACTTTACAAGATTTGTTTCATTTGGACACTGGAATACACTTGGCAACATATAAATACAACAATATTATATTATTACTGATATCATAGTTTAAAAGCTATTTCCTACACATCCCTCAAAATGATTGATAAACGAACTGTGAGAAATTCAGCATATATTAGAGACAGTATATAATTTGAATATTGAAAAACATTTTAGGAGCTGATATCAACCTGTCACTCTTCACAGATGAGTAATCTGAATCTCAGAGATGATAGGAACCACAGAGCCTAACACTTAACCAACTTATTAAACAAATAAACCTGCCTAGCTTGTTTTCTCGTAAGCCAAACTAAAGGAAAGGCAATCTGTAATGCAATCCCTTCCCTTAGACATCAAATCAGTGGATTCAAAATACAAGTAACTAATAACATTTAAAAATATTGCCTTCTAATCATCATTGCAACTAGTAATAAATTCCAATAATCCCCTCTGCCTACTCCCAACTGGATGGCATTTTCCAAGCCATTTGTATCAGCAAGGAAACCAAAAGTACATAGTCACCCAAGAAAGTTGATTTCCCATAGAACAAAACTCATTCACTCTGGCATTTTCATTGGCATTTGCAAAAGCATTTTTAAAAGACTCAAAACACATATATTTCATTTAAACATTTATTTTTACGCTGAGGAAATGTTATTATTCATTCAATCTGTGGGTATAAACAACCTAAGAATATATATAGCCAGTAAGTTGGCAAGAGACCCATAATAAGAATCTTGGTATGTATTTTCTTGAATAAGAAATAAAAATTCAAATGGAACATCCTTTCAGGCAATTTTGTAATCAGATCTAATTCTAGAATAGAAGATATTTCTAACTGAGTTCAATAAACATTATGCACTACTGTGTATATGGACATGGGAGGCAATGATGGTACAAAAATAGGAAATAGACCCTTCCTATTCTTAATTATCTTAGAATCTTCTAAAATATGTAAACATATTATGTAAACATATAATTTCAATCTAAATATTTACATTCCCTCTGCCATTCCCAAGTCCAAGCCACCATTATTGTTCACCTAAAACATCCAATAACTCTCTAAAGAGTTTCCCTTGCTCTATTCTGATCCTTCCCTAATCCTGTCTCCTCCACATGGTCCCTTCATTACACTTAGAATAAAATGCAAACTCCCAGGCCCTGTGGGTGCTACCTCTGATTCTTCTGTGGCCTCATCTCCCCCTGTTTTCCCATCTGGTTCAATATGTTGTAGTCACATTTGCTTTGTCTTTTTTGATCATAAGCTTGATATTGTCTTGGACCTTTGAACTTTGTTCTGTCTGAACCTGGCTCTTCAAATAACTGGATTAAGCTTAGAGGTTTTATATATCATATTCTCAAAGATGCTATATGTGACCACCTTGTCTCAAGAAGTCCCCGAATTCCCACCTCATCAGTTCTTTTTTTTTGGAGTTGGAGTCTCACTCTGTCACCCAGACTGGAGAGCAGTGGCATGCTCCCAGCCACCGCAGCCTCGACCTGCTGGGCTCCGGTGATCCTTCTGCCTCAGCCTTCCAAGTAGCTGGAAGTACAGGCGTGCGCTACCATGCCTGGTTAATTTTTTGATTTACTGTAGAGATGAGGTCTCGCCAAGTTGCCCAGGAGGGTCTCAAACCCACAGGCTCAGACAATTCACTCACCTTGGCCTCCCAAAGCGCGAGATTACAGGTTGAGCCACCGAGCCCATCCCACCTTATCAGTTCTAAAAGTAACATATCTTGTTTATTTTCTATAGAGCACTACTTGCTTTCTGAAAACAGAACAGTGCCTTGCACTGAGTAGACACATTTTATAATATTACAATGAATAAAAGTCATTTCCTAAGAATTTTAAGTTCAATCATTACTTATATGAAGTTGACATTCTAATACTGCACACTACAGGGTCTACCGATAAAAAATATCTACCTCTCTGTCTTTTTGCCAATGTTGGAAAAAAAAAAAACCCCAAACATAAGTTATAGAAGAAAAAGTATAGCAGTAATCAAGGGATCCAAAACTTACTCAACCATAATTTTAACTTGAGCAAGTCAATTTCACTTCAATCTACTTATTTGCATAACACAGGAGTCACATTACATAATTTTAAAAGAACTTTCCAGTTCTAAAATTCAATCCTTTGAAATAAATTCCTCTAAATGAAAATCATTAAGATTCCTTCAAATGCATATTTTAAAAAATAACCTGAGCACAGCGAACAATAAATATCAAGCACTTAATTCTGGGCTTCCTATCTGTATATACATTATTTTGCCCTAAGTACTCCTCCTTTCTGGAACTTCATTTTGAATATTTTCCCATTTTTGATTTCAAAGTAGGAAAAAATATTGAAAGTTATAAAATTTCATAAAATTCATAACATTTACTTGTATAAAATTATATTGAATTATGCAGTCATTTCTCCTTTAGAAAAGAAATGCACTTTAATAATGTAGGTATGCCAAAAAACTGTAAACAATCCAAGGGTACTAAGAAGAATCAGTCTTTCACATGCATTTAAAGACTTTTGTTATCACCACTTTCCAAATAACATATAAAATAAAAAGTTTGTTAAACTTTCGCTTTAACTAAACCCAAAAATTTCTCATGGGAGAAATATCCCCTACTACCACCACTAGAGAAATCATTTTAAGAGCGTGCTGTAAAGTAAAGATAATAATTTTTTAAAAGACAGAAGATGGGTAAAGCCAGAATAATGGGGAGGCAACTTTTAAAATTAAGAAAATAGTGACATTATCGATTGCAATTCAAATAAGGCAATGATGATGTTTAAAGGAATTGACTGTGAAAAATCTCTATATAATTTCCCCAATAGTATTATGGGAAACAGGCTTAGAAGATGCAGTAAGTAGAATTAGCCTGTTGCAAAAGCAGCAAGATAAAGAAAAAATATCCTATTTTATAAAATGCAATGATAAGAGAGCCTTTAGTACTCAGGGAAATTATCATGGAACTACTTTAATGTACAAGAGGGAAACCTAAAAAATAGAAGGCATGAGAAAAATCCTGATTCAAAATATTTCATATAGGAAAACCTATAAAAACAAAATAAATTCTGCAGCAAACTTAAATTAGTTGACTACTATCTTAACATGGCATTAAAATTGCATTAAGGAACAATGTCAGGAATGGTTATATAATATCTTGTGTGAAATTATATCCTGCATGAATGCTGGCAAAATAAAGCATCACAACCCTAGGTTTATAAACATAGACATACAATAATGTGAATTTAATAATGAACTTGTGGTTGATGTAGTATATCCTCCATTTTATTATTTTCATTCTTCTATACCTGCAGTTTGTCAATGATTTATTTTTACTAGTCAGAAACAGGGAGAAGAAATTAAATATTATAAAGCATATTAGCTTTATTTATCAGAAATTTAATTTCTGTCCACTTTAAAGTTTACAACTTGATAATCACTAATACATCAAAGTTAAGTGATTTTTAAAATCCATTTGAAAAAAATTTCCCAAAAGATGAGCAAAAGTAAATGCTTTTCGGCTCTTTAAAAGCAATTCCAACTGCAAATCTGGTAGAAATAAGTACATCTTACACAACACCAAACCAGTTATAAACTTCGCCTCGCTAAACCCATGAGTCAGTACTAATGACAGAGTAGAGTGTGACAGAATTGTTATGTAAGCTCATTCTGGTCTGATTAAGGCCAAAGCTAAACGGAATAAGACAGCCATCCTTTGCACCCTTTACAATTTATCCTTGGCCTCAAACTTAGGTATTTATAAGTTGTTGTATATCCATATCATCCACAAAGCAAGATTTTTGAGGCCAAAATGTAAACTTCTAAAACTTCAAAATGATATGCTCAATGAATCATTTAGAATGATAAGGAAGTGTATATTTTTATCATAAGCTATGCAACAGGAAAAAGGCTAGATGCTTTCCTGATGAGATCTCATTTAAACTCCACACTGAACTTGAAACAAACAGTTGTGAAATGGCCTTCCTCGTTGAAGTCCTATGAAAATGACTAAAGGAAAATGTAACGCACAGCCCTCTTTGAGTGTTTTGAAAGGGAAGGTAAGAATACAGTGTGAGGCTAAATCTGCAAGAACAAAGTCAATCTCCTTTCAAAATGTTCTTCACCAGTAAAACCTATATCTCATACCAACATTAACAGTAATTGTGGGAAAAATGATCATCCACTCACCATAATGCATGTAACAGTTTCCTTTGGTGGGATCCAGCTCAATAGCCTTCAAGAAGAACTTTTCGGCCTCACTCTTACGACCCTTGGAAAACAGAGAAAATGGATGATTCAGCAACAGATCATGAGGGATTCTTCACTTCCTGGGTCCCGATGAAGTAAACTAATGATTACTTGGTAATCATCATCAGAAAAAAAAAGTGTTGTTTTTGTTAAAATTAGGATGATCAAGGAGAATATATTGAGAGAAAAGACTGAAGTCTCAACCCTGGGAAACACCAAGGCTACAGAATGGAAGATGAGAATGAGCTCATAAAAAGATTACAAAGAAGAGGCCAGGAAAGAAAGAGAAAAAGTAAAAAGAAGGGTTTCCCAGAAACCAATAAGATAAGAAAGAAGAAAACATTATTGTTACTTTCTATTTTATTTTCTTTCTTCAATTTGTTTTCTCTTCCTTCTATTTTCTTGAAAAGAAGTATGACCATTTTAGCTTTAGACGTAATTCTTGTTTTAATCACTCACCCTATACATGAAGAAAAGAAGACACAATCTGGTGAATCTCAAGTAGCTGTTGTCTATCCTTGCTACTATTATTCATTGCTACTAAAATTCTGCTAACCCAGGACTGACTCTAAAGTTAGGTCACTTTCCATCCTGGCATTTTAAATAAATATTCCCATCGCGCTCATAAGAAAATAAACAAAAAATAGGAGAAAAAGTTTACATGCAAAAAGTCGGTTTTTCATGAAACATCATGATCAAAAGAGATTCTAATATTATACATTCTTAACCTAGTTACTGCTTCTGAATTGCAACTGCTTTCATTGAAACACAGAGGGGTGGCCAAGGTAGGAGAACAGCCCTAAGAACTTTCCTGGAGTGGGTCTATCTTGTCTGACATCATTGAAATGAAATCTATGCAAATGGCAGAAAGGCACTAGTGGTGTTCAAAGTAAAGATAAATGACCTTATCTGCCTACTCCTCCTAATTTACACACTGTTTGCATAAACTTCAGGTATATATTTTTTTACTTTGCATATATTTTTAAAACCACTGTTATAAAGATAAATATTTTAAAGGTAGAGGTGTATAATTAATCTAATATGCTACATTCTATGCAACTTTGACTCTTTTCTCTATATTCCCTCTTTTGCTCCTTCCCTTGTTTAAAAAATTCACTGTTTCTATATTCTTCATTAACTCATTATTCTAGTACCTAGGACATAGCCTGCAGCCTATGCTACCTATTGCTAGTGATAACCAAATGATAAGACAACTGACTTCCTCATTGATTCTATCATTTTAATAATACTATCCCATTTGGTAACTTCTCTTTAAATCAAAATCTTGTCAAATATGCAATACTTAAAAATTTAAGGTTCCCTGAAATGTTTTCCACCACAGTTTAACTTCAAATGAAAGCACAGACAGCATGTTTTGTATACACAAACTTTCATAAAGTTAGTAAAAATTAGCAAGAATCTTACCAAGCTAGGGTTCCCTAAATGACTCAATGACTGTAGTGAATCAGGCATTCTAAAGTACAAATGAGGTAAAAGTACAAATAAAGTACAGACTCTAGGTAGGCAGAACAGTTCCCACACTTGTTTACCTAAGTGACCTTTGGAAAATTATTTCATCTCTTAGCTGTAATTTTCTTGAGTACAAAAAAAGGGGGACAGGCAGCGTGTGGAATTTTTAGGACAGTGAAACCACTCTGTGTATGATACTATAATGGTAGATAAATGCTAACTTGTCCAAACTCAAAGAATGCACAACACGAGTGAACTATAATAAAAAGATGGCATTTGATTGGCTCATCAACTGTAATGAATGTACAAAACTAATGTATGTTGATGATAATAGAGGAAATGGCATGGGGCAGTGGGAGGATGAGGAGGCATATGGGAACTCTCTGTACTTTCTGCTCAAGTTTTTGTAAACCTAAAACTGTTCTAAAAATAGTCTATTTTTTAAAATGATAATAATAAAATCCACTTAATAGGATATTAAATGATCTGACATGCTACATATAAAGTGTTATTATGGTACCAAGGTATAAGTTTAAATTTGTAACAAATGTTATTTTATATTACCCCCCCACACACACACGCGAGTGCATGCACACACACAAGAACAACCAAAAAAACCCTAGGGATTTACTTATAAGAAATGTGTATTTATTGTTACATGTTTTCACCTTCAAAGTAGGAATACACCTATCAAGACACTTTTTCCACTCCTAAAAAGTTTTTGAACTTGTCAATTTTGATGCCTTTTAGTGCTTCTGTCATTTTTTGTTTCATCTCTTCCACATCAACAAAACTTGAAGACTTTTTTTTTTAATCCAGGAAAAAAAAAAAAGTCACTTGTGGTGAGATCCAGTAAATAGGAAGGGTGGTGCACAGGGGCCATGCCATTTTTTATTCAAAACTGGGGAACACTTAGCATGGTGTGGGCTGGTACACTGTCAGTAGTGGAAGAATCAGTTACCTGTTTGTTACATCTTGGGAGTTTTCTTCCACAAATTGTGATGAAACTTTCTCAAAACTTCTGGATAAAAACTTTTGTTAACTGTTTGATCTAGAGGAACAAATTCTGAATATACTAAAAGGGACCTGTCCTCTAAAAGATAATTCCATTTTTTTAGGGTCCTGCTCATATATATGGAATGGTATGCAATAAAATTCTAGATTACAAAGAATATATCTTGTTATATGCACAGCCTCAAAAACACATGGTTGTCCTTTACATTATCACCAGAAAATGATATACAAAAAATCTGCAGAAGATTATAGTTTTTTAAAAATGCAAAACGAAAGTCATCATCTGTAAAGAGCCTATACGAACATTATGTGCAGAGACAAAAAAAAAAAAGAATTCCACTAAAGTTTTTAAAGACAGAAAAGAAAAACTGGCTAATTTATCAATGTCACAATCAACAGGGTAGTAAAATACCTCTGTATAGTCCACTGGAAAACCATAAATGGTAGTATGTAATTTTGAAAACATGCAGCAAAATTCAAAGGTCAGTAGTCTCTGGTTACTCCCGGAACCAAATTATTAAACAAGTCCTAAATTCAAAATGAACACATGGAAAGCCAAAACACTCTTTCAGGGGATGTGGGGGGGGATATTGTACCATCACACAAAGATCCATTTTTCTGCTTTGGTCACTATTGAGCTAAATGCCAAATTATAAGGAAGAAAAGACTATCTCACAGAGTAAGGGAAGACCTCCTTCATGTGGTCAATAGGCTATTGGAAACTGTGACTTTAAGATAAATGACATATAATGAAACTAACTTTTTTTCCCTCGTCAAAGTTATAACAAAATGATGTCAGGAGAAACAACATTATTCGAAGACCTGCTGTACATTGTTTTGCTTAAAGTTACAGCATCCACGAACCTACCAACAATGTTAAGTGAGGACTTACTGTATGTAAAATTAAGAGTCAAATGCATAAGCCAACCAGGCACAAACATTACTGAGTCCTGGGAAGAGGTCATGGTGGACAAAAGGTAATATGATGTTTAATCACATTTATTATTTCAACTGTTACTGTTTTAGAGGAATAGATGTTAGGGCAGAAAAAGTCATTCTTAGCAGATTTTTCCTGATGACTTCTAGATTATGTCAGCATTTTCTACAAGCAAGAATTACAAAGTAGTCAATAGTTGTACAAACTCCTTTCATCAAGCACCATTATTCATCTTGTATACTGGATGAGATGTTTGGGCACAGAAAGTGGCTCAGAAACCAAGGAAAAGAAACTGTTCTGAGTATTAAAAACAAATAAGCTAATATTTATTAAACTCATAAAAATAATGCTACCCCAATCAGGAGTTGGCCTGGTCAGACCCGCTTCTGAATGAGATCAATGCAACACATAATTGTAAGAGAAATGCATAGTAAAATTTATATAACCTATTCCACATTGTGGGATCAGTATCCAACTAATTTATTTTGTTTTCTAGTTAAACTGTATGCTACTACCACTGTTCAGAAACAGGAACCAGACACAGGTATCAAGTTGGGTGGATACATAAGGCAAGTGACATCTCTCCGGTGGTCGATCAATTCCTTTGTCAACTATAAAATATACAATGTAAAAATACACACGTTTTCACACACACACACACACACACACACACACACACACACACACACAGAAATACGAAGGGGGGAAGGGAGGGGAGAGGGAGAGAAGGGGGAAGGGGGGGAGAGAAAGAGACTCCTTCAACCATTTCTAGAACTCCCACTTAAGAAAGTAAGCAAGAATATTAAATACAAGAGACAATTAGATTATTATGATTTCAGCATGAATTGTTTATTTTTAAAAAGTGAACTAGGCAGGGTATGGTGGCTCATGCTTGTAATCCCAGCACTTTGGAAGCCTGAGGCAGGAGAATTGCTTGAGCCCAGGAGTTTAGACCAGCCTGGGCTACACAGTGAAACCCTGTCTCTATAAAAAAATAAAAAATGAGCTGGGCAGGATGGTACACGCCTGAAGTCCCTGCTACTGGGGAGGCTGGGGAGGGAGGATTGTTTGAGTCCAGAAGTTTGAGGTCTCAGTGAGCTGTGATCAAGTCACCACACTCTAGTAATCTGTGACAGAGTAAAACCCTGACTCAAAAAATAAAAATTAAGTTAAAAAGTAAACTATAATCAAACTTCTGTACTTATTTTTAGTAACAAATTACTCAAAATATCAACCACCTCCCTCCAAACTGTGTCTTGCTACCAAAGTTCAGAACTGTTATTTTACTGAATGACACCTGAAAACCAAAGACCTTACATTGTCATACTGCATTATGACGCGTGTGTATGAAATTATGTATATATTAGGGGACACCCTCAAAAAAATATGTGCCCCCTCATATATGCATAGTTTGGGGCCCACTGTAAAACAGGTTTCCCCTGCTAGGTAAGTGGTCTAGGGACCAACTGGCATCAGTGTACCAGCTAGCATTGTTGTGAGAGGCTGTATTTGGCTTCATTGAACTTTTTTTTGAGAGAGCGTTACAAAATGTTTGTTCATTTCATGATGGATGATTTACAAGTGCACCTGCCCACATTTTG